TGCTTTGCCATAATTAAATACACACACCACCAAAAGAATCGTGTAATGTCTCTGTCTTCTTCATTTAACTCTATCTGTAAAAATGCTTGTGTAATGTCAGCTGTAAAGGCTATCAAATTTTGTCTAAATTTTATCAATAAATAAAAAATATCAGGATATAAGTTTGGACCAGTATATAAACAGTCGTTTAGAGAAAGTGTTTTTGTTTTATGGGCTGAAGCATCATTAACTATTCTTAGTCTGCTTGTTGCACTATCATTTTTTATGACTGCCCTATGAGGTAAATAAAATAGGGTCTTATTATTTCGATTGTCTTCCTGAACTGGTTCAATAATATGTTTTAACTCGTAATCCTTTAAAACTTCTGAGTATATTGAACAAACATTGTACTATCAATTTTAAATTTGTTACTTAATCTTTCAAGTGCTATATCCCTATTATCTTCCATTAAATGTTTTTAATGTGGTTTCCAAGTTAATTTTACTTGGTATCTGCTGTTCTTATACTTGATATCAGATTCGAAAGATTTCATAATTTCTAAATCAACAGTTTTGTCGTTTTGAGTATCACTTTCTAAAACTAAGCTGTGTCTAGCTGCCAAAACTGTTGTAATTGATCTGATATCAAGTTTTCATTTACTATTACTTTCACAATTAATAATTCACTAAGATCATTATTTACTTTACCCTGCAAACACCACCCAAATAAAGATTCTATGGCTAATACACTTCTTGAAATCCTTTTAATTTTACCAGTAATTATAGAATAGTAGAAATCTACCCCTATGAGAACATCAATTTTGTCACTTTGTCTACAACAGTCTACTAATTGTAAATTTTGTAAAACTTTATTTTCCTTAGCAAAGTTCAAATCTGGAGGGGAGATAATAGTGCCAGATATATTTTCGGTTTCAAGAAGCTCAATATATATATTAAGATTGGGATCGCTAACATTTTCTAATTTTGCTTTAGCAACATTAAAGGTTCTTTCTAACGCAATTTTATCTCCATATGAATAAACAGAAAGTGATTCTTTTCTAACAATCAAAAGCTCCATTTTACTAGATACATCTTTAATTATGAAAGATCTCATTGATCTTTTTGATAATTGAGTCATTATCAAAAAGAATTTTCAGATTTATCATTATTTCGAGTCAATGCAGAAGCAGTTTGCAATAACATTTTATTAGATTTATTTTCATTGGAGTTATATGACGAAACAACGGAAATAACGCTCGAATGCGACATTTTCTTTTCAAGTTTATCATTATCTTTTTTTATCTTATTTTATTATTATTTATCTTATTTTTTGCTTTCGAGTGTTTATTATATTTAGAAGGTGCAGTTTATTTTTTGTTTACAGTCTTTAATTCGATGCTTTGGACACAAACATAAGAAACATATGCCTTGCTTTTTCAAAATCTCTTTTTTCTTTTCCATAATTAAAATTTCGCAATCCATGGACTTATGACTTTCGTTCCCACAGATCAGACACTGCGATTCGGCTGACACAGCTAATAATTCAACTGTAGGCGGCTTGCTTGTTATGGCTGGAGAATGTTTAGATTTGAAGGGCAGTTGCTTTTCTAATCGTGAATATTTTCTCTCTAGAGTTATAATTAACAGAAGCCGCACGTTCTCTACTGAATACTCCGTTTCTCAAAAAAGTCTAACAGACCTTTTAAATCCCAATTTTCGTCTTTAATTTTTTGGCTATAATCAAGAATGAATTCATTAGGAAGTTATTTCAAAATTAAAGGCGTTAAAAGGTTTTCATAGGAATCAGAGTCTATTTTTAATGCTTCAAGATTTCTTCTCTATACTTCGGTGTGATCGAAAAGTTTTCTTGATCCATTTACACCATTAGAATTTCTAACGGGTGAAATACTTAAGAGTTGTCCTAAATGTGAATTAATTAAGATGCTCATTTGCCCAAATCTAGAACATAACAGTTAAAGAGCAGCTTCGTAATTATTTTCGATAAGAGCAAAATCAGAAATAGCTTTGGCGGCTGAGCCACCAAGAAAGCTTTTCAAGTAAATTAATTTTTCTATTTTTGATAATTTCAGATTTTTATCAATCGCATTTTCGAACTGACCTATAAATTCTAACCAATCCGAAGGATCACCATAAAATTTACAGATGGTTAATTTCGGAAGACGAGTGAATTTGTTATTTTCATTTTGGGATTCTGTAACGGTTTCATTAGAAATGTCCCTACTTGCATTGTCCGAATTTTCGAGCTTATTCAATTCCTTCAACTTTTTCTCTCCTCTAAATTGCCACACTATAATATTCCAAAATGGATGTGATTTCAAGTTCAAATTCGTCCGCTTAGACTTTCAATTCTCGTTATATTTGAGCGTCTAAATCACTCACGGATTTTGATTTTTCATTTAACTGGTCTAAAATTTCTTCTAATACATTCACATTTACACCACTATCATCTTTATTTAATTCAGCTTCGATTTTCTTTAATATTTTGGACACTGCAGTCCTCAGTGCCTTTCGTTTCGATTTCAGTTTAGCAATAAGATCTTGCATTACACCAAAAATACAAAATACAGCCTTACCTTGGCAGTCTTTGCACACAATGCTAATCCAAAATTAAAAAACACAAATTTTTAAATTCCCATCTAGCATCTAAATAACTTTTACTTCAGGTGAGGGCACTGCTATCACCGTATGACTTCATATTTCTCTACATGGAGTAAATGGCTTATTTCTTTACATCTTTTTTGTAATTTGATGCAAATAAATTTAAGTTTGATGATAGTTTATTTTATTCCAGATTGTACAAATTACCATTTTTGGTAATTTAACTATTTTTTAATGTTTTCTAAAATTTTTAATTTGTTCTAATTCTATTTTATTAATTACATTTGTTATGATAGATTAGGCATGTAGAGGTGGCATTTTTAATTTTCAGAGGCACAAATAATTTAAAATAATTAATTTTGATATCTCAGCTAATTTGAGAACAGAACCATGTCTAATAATAATGCTAGATAAAGTAATAGTATCATTGTGAGATTCTACCACCTCTTGAAAAAGTTTGAGTCTGACAATAATGAAGAGTTTTATAAAATTATATTTGAAAATTGACTTAATGTATGCTTACTTAATTGTAATTTTCTAAATCAGCCAAACGCTAATTTTTTAATTTACACTAAAATTGCATTATTGTTTTTCATATATTTTTATATTTAGATTAAGTTTTGATTATTTAATATATATTATATAGGATGATTTTCTTCTTATAAAGAAAGAAGTATCTTATAAAGAATTTTTGCTCTATGGGGATGATATAGAGGTTACCCATAATAAGTAATCATAATTTTTTATTTGGGTGGTGTTGTGGAGGAAAAATATTTTAGAGGCTTGAATGCAGGTTTAAAGTTTGAATATTGTATATATTTATTCTATTTTATATATTAAGTTTAAATATTTTACACAAACATTTTATATATATTAAGTCTAAATATTATATACAGTAGAACTCCAGTTATCTGAATCAATTGAGAAGGTACCCAATTTGGTTAGTTAAAAATTTGGATAATTTGATTTTTTCTGAAGAAAGGTTCTACAGACACTTTAATTAATTAGTGTATGTTGAAAATGGGGGAAAAAACTATTTTTAAAGAAAAAGAGGTTTTTAATTAATTAAAATGAAAAGGCAACACTTTTACATACATGTTATATAGCGTAATGTACAGTACTTACAAATGCTGAAAGTCATTGCTTGCTGAACATATCGGTCAAAGTAAGCTGTTTGATGGACACCGTAACTGCACGTAAAATTTCTTAGGCAGCCATTACTTACTTTAAAGGATGAGCAAGCAAGCTTCTGAGCTAAGACCTTAGCTTTTTCACAAAAGAATCAACCCCGAGATTGGGTCTTCCATAGAACACTGCTGCAAAAACCATTTGAAAATGACATTTTCTAACTTTTTGTTTGTTGGTACTTTCATTGATTTTCTTGAAAAACTTCAATCTTTGTTTTCAAACAGTTACACGAAGTTTAAAAGTGTAGGTTTGCTCCTTATAATGTCTGAAATTGTTGACTGCCCAACACTATGTTTCCATCTTAATTTTTTTCTTAAATTCTGAAAGCGATTCAGATAGTCGGTGTGTGTGTGTGTGTGATTATGGCAAAGCCTTGAGGGCTATCTGCCTAAAGGGAGGGTTGCCTTCGTGGAGGACTTTCTAAGAGAAACTGACTCGTATACACGTTAAACATGGGGAAAACCATGAAAACACCCATGCAGCCAGCCCATTTGCGGGATTCGAACCTCGGACCTAACTACCAGTGTTCAACAACTTTACCGCTCTGCCGCTGGTGGGCTCGGATAGTCGGAGTTTGGATAATTGGAGTTGTACTGTACATTTACTTATATTAGTTTGTTTGTTTATATTAGGTCATTATTTTTAGTTTGTATTAGGCCACCCTTAGACATTATTTCAAAATTGTCATGAATCTTAAAGCTCTGATTTTCATTCATTGAGGAATAGTAGTATTTGTTGATTACTCCTTTATTGCACCAAAAAATGGAGCTTTGCTGAAAATAAACAGTGATTGAAATGAAAGGCTCTTGAAGTCCCATAAATTTTAATTGTTATTAAAATATTTTTTCATGACTCCCCCCCCCCCACTGGCTGTTATTATCCAGAGCTTTCACTTGCTGTTGTAAGTCAGTAAGTTTGATCAAAAGTTTACATAAATATTTAAATAGCAGTCAAGTAATGAAAATAATGAATGACATTTTCTCTTTCACTTCACATTATATTTACCTTATGTCAGTACTTTTAATCTATAAGTATATGCAGGAAATCTTTTATGCTAACTATATTTGCCTTTTTAATATTAAATTACTAGAAATATTATTATAGAATTCAATTTTCAAAATTATAAGTTTGATTTTTGGCAAGTTAATATTAATTTAACCATATATATATGAAATGTTATGCACATACGAAAAGTAATTATATTTTATTTTGTAGTTACTGAACAAGAAGGGATATCTGAATCTACAAATTTGGAAACTTCTGAGAAATCTGCAAATTTTTCTGCAGAATTTGGACTTGAACAAAATTCAGATGTTCACCATGATTCGGTGCATGAACATGTCTCTGATTCATATTCAGATATAAAAGATGTAGAATTGGTTGAGTATGATTCACAGAAAAGTGCAATAAATTTTTATTTAAAAAATTCATGCTGTGATGATTCTAAAAACATTAATGTAAATTCTGATATTAATGATTCTAAAACAGAAAAGGAACTGTTCAAAATGCTGCAAAGGACAGCCGAAAATGAAAACGAAAATTTCACGTGTAAAACCAAAGAAGAGACACATTGCAACTGACTTTAAACAGCTTTTATCCTGTTTTATAACCAGTTTATCAAAAGAAGCAAAATTTGTTATGTATTTCCCAACTTTACAAAAATCAATTTGTTTGCATTTCATGTTCAAAGTATTTTTTTCATGATCAAGTCACTGTAGTATTATTAATTTTTATTTTACTGTATTAAATGTAGTATATTTTTATTGGATTATTGTTACTTGATTATGAAAAATAAGTTATGGCAATAACTATTGTGTTGTATTTTAGATTAAAAGAAATGTGATTTTATAGTTTAGAGTAAAAAAGATATGATAAAAATTGAGAGACCTAATATTAAAATCTTATGCATATGAAATGTTAAGTAATTAAATTACATTGCAAAATTTAAAAAAAATATATTTTAAAATTTAAAAATCATTAAATATTAAAATTTTGAGGGGTTATTTATTTAAATTTTTTAGTTCGTTCTGGGAACAGTGTGCCAGAATATGTTTCATGCTACTTAAAACATGAAATTTCAGATGCATTTTTTTTTTTTTTTTTTTTTTTAATTAGAAGTGATAAAGGACAGCTTAATACATTTGAATGCTCTAGGCCTGTCTTGCTGAAATTTCTGTTATATTTATTTTACTTACATTTCAATTATTCCTACACATTTACCTGTTAGATCAACTTTTAATAACTTTGATATGCGTATATTTGTAAATAGATTTCACTTTAGATTTTCCTGTTTGTTTGCAATGTAAAATTGTAGTAAATAGATTTATTTCACTGTAGATATTTCTATGTTATTCACAATTTAAAATTGAAAGTATCTCTAAGCTTCTCCCTAAAATAGAGCACTGCCAAAAATTAAAAAATATTATGTAAGTGTATAATTTTTCAAAGTTATTACTCTCTCTCTCTCTCGCTATTGAGCAGAGAGGTTCAACTTTTAAATTTATAGTAGAACATGATGCATATGCAAGCTTTTTTAAAAATAAATATGCTGATTTTAATTCAAACTGTTAATGTATGTTATTTTTTAATGCTCAGCAGAATTATTTGTATTGATGTTTTATGTTTGTATTGATTTGTTCTCAAAAGAAACTAATACATAACATATCTTTAAAACTTAAAAAAAAATATTTAAGTGAACATAAATATTTATTTTATTATATAAAGCACAAGAATATGAAAGCTACAAGAGATGTCTGCTTGTTTTTATTGTATTCAAAGATAACTGTGTAATTTTTTATAAATCATTTTTTGAGGAAAATTTTGATAGCAAATGATTAATACAAATTGCACCTCCTAAGTATGCCAAATCTCAATTTTTTTTACAGTTTTATTTATCAATAATTGTTTTATATAATGTTGCCAACTTTTATATACAGTGTTTTAAAGGAATCAATAGAATTTTTCTGAGTACTTTGATATATGAAAAATTTGTACTTTTCTAATATGTAAATGTTGTTAATAATTTGTTAAAATATATTACTATGAATTTATAGCACATTCATGAACAGAAGAAATTACTATAAACATTTCTTGTTTTTTTCTAATTCCTAAAATTTTAAATTATAAGAAGAATTAGAATATTGTTTTTCATGTAGAAACAGTATTTTTGATAGCTGTTCCATTTTTTCAACATTTTTAGTCTCTATTTGATTTTATAAATCATCGATCTGATTGTTATTGGTTTAAGCGAATGAATTTTTGTTTCTGTTATATGATTAATTGGTGACACTCCCATTTTTCAGCATTAGATTATTTATATTTAATTTTATAGATCATTATATGTGATTATTATTGGTTTAAGCATTTTTTCTGTTATGTGATTGGTTTCCATAAACTTTTTGTTCACACCAAAAATTTTTTTAAAAAGTAATAATAATAATTTGTGATATCAATCCTATGTAGAACTCATAAATAATGCTAATGCAGTTTTTTTAGCAATCTAATTTTGTTATTTTGAGGATTAAAACATATCTCCTATATGATATGCATTTTACATTGGTCTGCTAATCATGTTTTTATACCATTACACTTATTTACATATAAATTTTAAAGCAGACTTTTCCTTTTCCTACATTTTTAGGAGACAAATACAGATAAGAAATCTTCTAAGATGCTGTTTTATAGCATATAATGTGTAGATTAATTTTGAAAAAACAAATCCAGCAGTTCTAGTCCTCTGCTATATATTGCATAATAATTTTATAATTTTTAACCCTTCTGCTGCAAAGGTTTCATTAAGAAACTCCAAGTTTCCAAACATTGCAATGAGAAAGAGGCACTTTGAATGCCAAAATGCCCTTGGTACTTCATACCTGGATTTATATACTTTTAATATAATGCCTTAATTTTTAGGACATATTTTAAGATGTATGAATATATCATTTCTTAAAGATGTTATCAAAAGTACTCTTTAAGTTGTATATACTGGTCAGAAGGTTAATATGTATATTATTTCAGAATTTTACATATTTCATAAAGAGTATATTTTCAAGGCATTTTTATTAGAAATATTTGTCTTGTAGTATGTTAGATGAATAATATTTGTTCCATGTTAGAAAATTATTGCATGTTACTGTTCAAAATTTGATATTAACACGTTAAGTATTCCCAAGTAACGAGATGTAGATTCAAAAGATTTGTATGAGTAAATGCTAACATTAAATTTTTATTTCTGCTTAAAATTTTAAATAAAAATAGCTGTTAAAATACGGTCCTCTGTAAAGCTGTTAAAATTTTCAAAATACACAATTCTTTATGCCAATTGAAGATTGTAAGTTATAATAGATTGAAATAAACAATTTGCTTTATTACAATTATAAAACTGTAATAGTAATAAAACAACTTATTTATTTCAATATGTTATATAAAATAAGTGCTAGGAAATATATTTCAGTATTTTCTTTAGCATTTGATTTTTAAATTAAAAATACAAATGACAATTATTTGAAAATCAATTACTTTTCATCAACAGTGATCATGTAAGCTTTGAAGTTGATACAGTTTTCTCTAGGAGATCATGTAAGTTCAGGTGATTGCCAACTGTTAGCTTTCAGGCCATGTGCAATTGATTTTTTTTTTTTTTTTTTTTTGCTTGCTTAGCAAAATTTATTTTTATTGATTTTATTGTATATTTTCATCATTCTAATTACATAGGGCTATCTTCATTCAAAAATTATTTGAAATTACTGCTGTAAGAATCTTGGAAGGAAAAGGAAACTGGTCCAGACATATTTCTAAAAGTTTGGTGAGCCTCTAAGATACAATTTGGTCATTTTGAGGGAAGAGAAGTAGGCTGCCACTAAAGTAAGTTAATCTAGAGTTTACAAAAAATATTTAGATTATTTTTAATGCTTAAGAAACATATTGCTGAAAATTCTATTTCATATAGAAAGAAATACACCCATAAAATAGCTTAACAATTTTACATAGGAAAAATTCTTTATGAAAAAAATTTATTAGTGAGGATGTAAGATAATGTATATAAAACAGATATTTAAAGTTCTAGGAGTCAGTTCAGAGGAAGACTGAGGTTTTGACATAATCACAATTGTTATCATGTTGTCTAATATAACAAAATCAATAATCACTGAATTGATGTAGATATAAAGATACTTATATTTTTGTTAAATTAGCATTTAGTGTTTATTATGTATGTGATATTAAGCAATATTTTGACCCAAACATAAAATCTCCGTATCTTTCCACTGATTTCATACATTATTATTTTGAGGAAGATTAAATTTTATGCATATATTTTTAGCATAATCTATTATCTTAATAATTTAGTTGAGTAAATTTTTTAAAATTGTGACATCTGTTTAGGTTTTGACTGTAGTAATAAATTTATAGTTTCAGAAATATTTTATTTCTATATTTTAATAATTAAATAGCCATTGGGCATTTGTTTTAAATATGACTTTTGAAAGCAAGTTTACTTTTTCAAATTAATGACATATCCAAAGTAAAATATGTTTTAGGTGAGAAGAAGTAGATCAAATGATATGCTGAAAAATATGTAAATTCTTCCCTTTCCTTTCCATATCTTGACTTCATCATATTGATGTGATTAGTGTTGGAACAAATGTGCTGCAGTGAAGATATGTGTTTCTGCATGTGGCTGTTTAATGTTATGAATTTTTCTATAGTTCTGTTTTAAATCTCAAATATTGAATTGAAAGATGTGAAAAAATATTATATAATTATCAAATTAAGCTGCAACTTATTTATTTAAGATTATGGCCTTTTCCTTGCAACCATTGTTGTTAATTGTAAATATGAATGTTTGTAACATTATGCTGTTTTTCTTGTCTACTTTTGTAGGATTATGACATAGCACCCTGATTGTGGAATTATTTGTTGTCTTATTTTTTAAATGAATTAAAGGATAAATTTACTGTTCCATTTTCTAGTCTGAAGGTCTTCCTAAAGCAGCTACAATTTCAGTTCTGTATTTTGCTGAATAAATGTTGTTTGTTGTTTATATTCTAATTGATTTATGTTTCACATTTATTTAAAAAATATACAGTGAAGATATATCTAGAATTAAGTTCCAAACATACATGAATTTGGAAATTTTCAATAAAATCTAATTCACCAAGTAAGGTGTTTTTTTTTTTTTTTTTTTTTTTTTTAATAATTTTAATAGAAATAAAGTTAACAGTTGTTAGCATATGCACTGCCAAAGCTGGTTAAGTGTGTCTGTTCACACACACCAAGATCTGTGTGCATTATTATGCTTTAAAAATATTTTCTGCTGTTTTATTATTGAAATATAGGTATAGCATTGTTTTTAGTAGTAATGAAATTTGCATACGTATACTCATAGTTAGGATATAAAATAATATTTTTGCTCTGTGGCAAATACAAGATAACTCGGAGTTGGATGAACAATACTCACTTTTTTTCACACATTCATGCAAATTCCTGACGTGCAATACATTATTTCCAATTAGTCATAATGGGTCACTGAACAATAATTTGAGCAGTTCACTTATAATCTCCCCTCCCCCCCCCAAAAAAAAAGAAGAAGAAAAGAAGAAAAAACTGTATTCTAAACATTTAATTATAGTTTAAGAAATAAATTATCCATTTTAGAATACTAAATGTATTATTTAATCCCTTTCTGCATGCCAAACACCTAAGCATTACATGTATTTACTAAGACAATACTCATACTTCAATCATTTAGGTGAAACGATCAATAACGTCTCATAGCTGGAAAGTAAATGCAGTTTGCCAACTATGAGTATTCCTGCAGATGGCAGTGAACATGTTAATGATAAAAGATTTATCAATTTATTCTTTCTGATTCAAGCTTCCTAACCTTTATTACAGAATTTTAAGACTTTGATGTGACTGGTACCATTATAACGAGAAATGTTATAGAAATGTCTTTTTGAGAGAAGTCCTGTAATTATATAAAAGCATGGGAGAAATCAGGGTGCTACTTTGGTAGACGGTTGCACGGATTTTGGCGAGTGATACAACTTATGGTAAACCCATTGCTGGACAAGTTATTTATGGTAACCTATACTTTGTTGTCATTCTATTTTTAAAATAATGTGCTTTATTATGCCTAAATTCCGTGTTTTAAATGTTATTTATGGCTTCTAAATATTAAAAATCAGTTTAATTTTGCATTTTTATTTGAAATAAAAATTGTGTTTATAATATTTTGCATAATTTATGTTGTAGATGATGTAATTAGTGATGGGCAACTTCGGTACATTCTTGTACCCGGTACAAAATACCCATTACTCAAGTAACCGTTACTTTGAAAAGTACCGAAAACCGATTTCAAGTATCGAGTACCCAAGTAACGATTTGGAGTAACGAAATTACGGAGAGTAACGGTTTTCTGTACCGGAGTACCCTAGTAACGGTTTACTGTACCGGAGTACCTAGTAACGATTTGGAGTACCGAAGTACCTTAGTAACGATTTGGAGTACCAAAGTACACTAGTAACGATTTGGAGTACCGAAGGGCCCTAGTAATGATTTGGGAGTACCGAAATACACAGCTACGATTTGCGCACTGAAGGAACTCTGCCACGTCACCACGTGGGTTTGATTTATCTGTACGGAGTAAGATTTTGAATATCAGAAAATATGTCAACTACGGAAGTGTCTGATGAGCAGACCATTCATGGACACAAGGAGCGCATATCACCATTCCGCAAATACAACCAGATACTACTGTCCTCGTACCAAAACCGAAGTGAGCTGAACCCTCATCGATCCTCCAGTAACGAATACCGAAATACCGAGAAGAGACTCATATTTTCGTTACAAAGTAACGAATACCGAAAAGTACCCGTTTCGGTACAGAAGTAACGAATACTGAAAAGTATCCGTTTCGGTACAGAAGTAACGAATACCGAAAAGTGCACGTTTCGGTACAGAAGTAACGAATACCGAAAAGTACCCGTTTCGGGACAGAAGTAACGAATACCGAAAAGTACCCGTTTCGATACAGAAGTAACGAATACCGAAAAGTACCGATTTCGGTACTGAAGTAAACGGGTACTTGGATGTGTACCATTTTCAGTACCCGTTACAACTAAGTACCCGTTACAAAATACCCGGTTCGGTAGTACCGACTCATCACTAGATGTAATCAATGACGTCACCTTGCTTTAAAAATAATTGGTTTTAATATCTCTAAATTTAATCTAATGTTTTAAACATTATTTATGGCTGTTAAATATTAAAATACAATTTTGCATTTTTTTAAAAATGATTTTATTATGTATGATTATTTAAATAATTTTAATTCTATGTGTGATGTAATCAGCTGCTTGATTGGTTAAGAATATTAGTGCATTAATGAGCTGTAATCAGCTCCCTGATTGGTTACTGAACATTTATGCATTACCGCACCATTTTAAAATTTTATTATTCATCTCTTTGAATTCCTTAGATTTCACAGGAAACAGATATGTCCCTTTCAAAGATTAATGTTGTTATTGGTAAGTACCAGGAATTATTGGTTTTGGAATTAAAAAATTGTCCTCTGAGACCTTATTTTGGCCAAACAACCTGGCTTTCCTAATCAAAGATTTATTTATAAATTGCTACAAGGGTCAGAGAAAATTTATTTTAAATTTTTGGAGGAAACTTCGCTAATTGCTTCGGCTAAAGTGCAGAATCGCCCACTTATTTGATTGGCGCTTTTTTCAGAGTAAGAAGAATTGAATTTTTGTCAATTTTCTTTGACTTTTTAAGTGAAAATAGGTCGATGTGTACATGGATAAAGTCAACGTAAAAAACATTCTACAATTGCACAATGATGCCATTATTGTGCAATTCTAGAATGTTTTTTTAAGTGAAAATAGGTCGATGTGTACATGGATACCGAGTGTGCAATTCTTAGCGCGCCAAGCAGTGGGCGATTCTGCACCTTCCCCATTGCTTCTTCAATGAACTGCCAGAAAGTGGATCACAGATTGAGATCATTAGAACAGCCGATTCTGAGGAGGCCGTATATGGTATTGTGGTCACGGTGGAAGAAATAACCGCTCTAAGGGTAAACAAAAATATTAGACATTTCTTCTTTTTTACCGGCAATAAACTAATTGCTGTCATTTTAACTGTAGTGTACAAAGCGTTCTTATTTACTTATTTTAAAGTATTTGAATTTAAGTAATATTTTAATTCTTTTAAATGTTGGTATGATGGTTTTTAATTCGATATTCAATTTACGTAATATTTTAATCTAATTAAACGTTGGCGCAATGTTTTTATAGCGGTGTTTTTATTCTATTTCTTTGCTATATGAAAGTAATAATTTAACCTTACTTTAGTATTTTATACTCGTAGTAAATGTATTTATTTGCATTTGCCTGCCATCTTTAAAAAAAAAAAAAAAAAAAAAAAAAAACATTATTTTTAACGATGCTTATTTTTTTAAAGTTTCGAATACTTTACTATGCGCAAAAAACGTAAAAACAGCGTTTTTCAAGATAGCTGACGATTGTAAAAACCGCGCCAACAATTGCGCCAACGTAAATCGCCAAAAATCCGTCCAACCGTCTACCAAAGTAGCACCGAAATCAGGAAAATCTCATACAGCCTTAAAAGGCTTCTTCTAAGGAACCTTAGAACAGAATCTTCTGGAGAAGTTTCTAAATCACATGTATGTTGCAAAAAAGTAAAAGCTGTCAAAAATTAGAGTTCATGGAATGATATACATGTCCCAAGGTCACTTGGCCAGTAGCTGATTTAATGTTGAACAAAAATTAGAAATGTGGTTAAATATGAAAATAAAGGGAATTTCAGATGTTAAAGATATAAAAATGTTTTTAAATCACATAATTATTAATTTTACAAGTTTCATCTTCTTGAATGTTTTTTATAGTCAATGGAATCGATTAATAAAATTTGAGTCATTCATCCTTGTAATAAAGTATTTAATGCTTTTAAATTTTAATTATATGGAAATTTGATGGTGCATAAAATATTTTCAAAAAACAGTTTTCCATTCGTAGGTTAAAGGGCTAAAGTGCAGAATCGCCCACTTATTTGTTTGGCGCTTTTTTACAAGAGTAAGAATTGGATTTTTGTCAAATTTCTTTGACTTTTTGAGTGAAAATAGGTTGATGTTTACATGGATAAAGTCAAGGGAGTGCGCAGTGCCATTTTTATGCAATTCTGGGGATGTTTTATTAAGTGAAAATAGGTCGATGTGTTGTACATGTATACTGAGTATACAGTTAGTCAATAAAGTCTGCGTACATCAAGAAAAGTAATATCAAATCCAAATTTTAAGGTGCGAAAAGGGTAGTTTCTTAAAGTTTTATTTTTTAAATATTTTAGTTTCAATAAGGGACTTTGAAATTATTTAACTGTAATACTTTCATATCTAATAATTTATGCACACTAATTTTTAAAAGATAAGTGCCCAGAAATCAAAGCCAATAAAGTTTGCGTACAACGCGAAGGAGGCGGGGGATTTCTTATCTAACTTTTAAACTTCAAACTTGAGAATGCAAAGAAGGTTACACTTTCAAGGTCATTGACTTCCGAAGCAAATTTCACGTTGATTAGAAGTTGCTATTTCTATTTTCTTTGACGAAAATAACAACCAATAAAGAAATTCCTTTAGTTACGAGAAAACTAATTATCAAATTGAGAGATGAAGGTAAAACTCTTCGTTATATTGGTAAAACCATTGGAAAACCATTTTCTAGTGTGCAAAGAGTTATTCAAAACTGTCTTGACACTGGTAGTCTTGCTGAAAACCAAGATGTGGGAGACCGAAGAAGCTAACGCAGAGAGAAGAAAGAAAAATTCTTTTACGAATTAAACAAAATCCTAAACTTTCTGCTGCAAGCATTGCAAAAGACATTTTTTTAACTAGCAACAAGGACATTTCTCCTGAAACTGTACGAAAAGTGCTGCGAAAGTCCGATTATCATGAACGCAAACCTAGGTCTAAGCCATACATTTTTGAGACAAATAGAAAGAAAAGAATTGCTTTTGCCAAAACA